GTGATGTACCTCCTGATTCACTTGCGACGCAAGATGAGCTATTCATGCGCCGATGTAGCGACCCCACTGATGCAGTAAATGGGCTTCGACGTGTTCAAGGCTAGCCAAACTCCAAGCGCACGAGGCACTTCATGTGTTTCCGGCTATCCACGAATGCTCTTATTCCCACGGCCTCCACGACAAAATCATGCTAAATGTCACAAGCCAACGAGCCAAAGTTGCCGCGTCCAACTCGCCGGTGGGCTTGCACCGGCAAGACACCATCGACTTCATTCAAACGGGCACTTGGACCAGCATGGCTAGCCGAGTTGATGCTCTGACTTGACGGCCTATGTTGAGAGGAAGGTTGACATGGCCAGTCTGCCGCTGCACACGCACAACATCGCCCCCGTCGTGGTGGTCCTAACGACAGTTGAAACTTCATCGAGGTGGTGGCACTGGATGCCCGGCATTCCGTCCATTTGTACTCTGTTCGCTGTTCTCATCCGGATATCATCGTTTATCCGGTGGATGCAAATACTTCGAAGAATTTTTTTGTTGTAACGCAGATAAGTTACGATCACACTATTTAATAGTTTTACCTTGCACGTGCGATCGCGTTATAGTAAAAAGTTGCAACGATGCGCGATACAACACCGACGGAGCACTTGAGACACACCTCTACCTTCGCGAACCTCGCCATCTCTCCACGCAGCATGCTGCCGTCGCATGGACATACCGCCCAGACACATCGATCAACGTCGCCATCGTGGAGTCCGAGGAGGACTCGGCCAACGACATGGATCGAGCGCGACGTGGCGACCAGACCTTCGTTTCCGATTCCTCACGCCATGACACCACCGACTGCTGCCAGCTCTGACAACGACGACAACACACAGCGACAAGCCACCTGTGCTAAGATGCACAGTGCCACGTATCGAGCCAAGCACAGAGATGTCCTCCGCGAGAAGAACCGTCAGTGGAAACTCGCCAACAAAGAGCGTGTGGCGGTTCAAAAAGCAGCGTACCGCGCAAAGCACAGACACAAGATACGTGCCCACGACCGAGACATCTACCAGCAAAAGAAGCGCGCCAAGCTACTAGGAAAGGATATGCCGACTGCGTCGACGGCCCTCGAGTCCACCGATCGCTCTTTCGACATCGTCACGTTCGACGCATCGACTCCACCGATGCGCACTTTAGAAACCCTCTCGAATTCCCGCTTGCGGCACGCACGACCAAGTTTTGTGGCGCTTGGGATCATGCTCCGTTCCAATCACGACCATAGCACAACACCGACCGTGGTGCCGTCTCACGTAGCAGCAGAGAGGAGCGCTCTCTCGGCGGCAGACGCAGGAACGTCCTTTGGTCCAGCTACTGCCGCCACTGGTGCCAGCTTCACCCGTCTCCTTCACCCGACAAGCACGCCGCAGGGTGACGATGACCCGTCGTTCGCTGCCACGCCTGTTGGAACCCCGCCTCTCAGTGGTGTCAATTGTATTGTCCCTGGAGGCCTACCATGCACGAGTGGCCCAGTGATCGAGCAAGCAGGTGCGGCGACAAACGGCACGGCGAACGGCTCGTTACTTCGCTGCACATCGTCTGCAAAGAAACCACGTCAACGCAATCTAGAGAAGCAGGCGGAGTACGACAGATCGTACCGCCGCCGCCACAAAGCCGAGCTCGCGGTGAAGAGTCGCATGTATTACCACACGAACAAGGCCAAAGTGATGGAGTACAAGACAAGAAATCGCGACAAGGTGGCCGCCGCGGTACGTGACTGGAAACAACGCAACAAAGTTCACGTTCAAGCCCAGCGCAAGGCGTACCGCGAGCGAAATCTCGAGCGCATTCGGGAGCATGATCGAGCGATATATCGTGCGAAGAAGAACGGCGCAGTGGTGAGCAGTACCGCCCAGGAGAGCGACGACGACGTCTCCACGTCCAAAGACACACAGACTTCGTTGGTGCTCCTGTAGCATGCCAAGAATGGAATCCCAACACAGCCTTGAGCCCTCGATGCAGTCGTGCCAATCTGCGTCTAAGATGATGAACCGACGTGACAGATGCTGCGGTATTCTCCATCAAGCAGAGACGTGATGGACCTTGAGCATTGCCAATCGATGGCGGCAGGAAGTTTATGTGATGTACCTCCTGATTCACTTGCGACGCAAGATGAGCTATTCATGCGCCGATGTAGCGACCCCACTGATGCAGTAAATGGGCTTCGACGTGTTC